ATAAATTTTGAATTTAAATTTCGTATAACAGATTTTTTTTAATACAGCTGAAAGAAAAGAATTAATAATAACCGATCAGATTTCATTACCTATCAAGCAGATTAATTTCTTGCAAAACAAATTTTCAAATTACTGTCCGAGTTGAACACGGAAAAATTATCGATTTAAAAAAGGCCAACTATTCTTAATGATATTTTCAAAAAAAATAAAACCGTTGCAGCTATTAGAATTGGTAAACCTAAAAAATTTTCAGGCCGTGATTATAAAAGCAGTAAGAAAAGACCCAAAACAACTGTTGATGAATTAACCAAATATCTTAAAGAATTAAATATTGTGATAAGTGAAAAGACCACCAGGCGAACTTTACATGCCAAAAATATTTATGGTAGGAAGGCTGTAAAGAAGCCTTTAATATCCGAAACAAATAGGAAAAAAAATGCCGTTCATGTAAGAAAAAATCAGAGACAAGCAAGGTCTTGTAAATAAATCAAGATTGAAAATAAGTAAATAAAGGAACTTTATAGGAGCTTTTGAACTTTGTAAAATGGCCATATTCATAATTATTCTGTACCATTACAGATTGGTCAAAATTTTCTAGGTATATACAAGAAAGAGGTATTAAGCAAACCACCAAGACCGTCTAGAAGACTACCAAGGAGAACTAGACTGCACTAAATTCGCCCAAAAAAATCTCGACCACGAATTCCGGAAGTACGTGTAAAAATCAAGCCATCCTTGACTGTTGATTAAAAAGCTTGTTTTGCACTACAAGGTTGGAAAGGGATTTTGATATTCTTTTGACAAATCCTTTTGAAATGGTGTTCAAATTCTAAAGCTCCCATATTCTATTATATAACGGAATGAAATGTTTAATGTAATAAATACTTTACATTTCTTTTTGAAATATTCCAAAACTCAAACCAAATTAAAATCTTTATTTATAAAAAAAAAATCAAATCAAAATTCTGAAAATAAATAGCTGAAAGAAAGAAAAAATGGAAACTTATTAATTCATTACGTCTTTGCACTCATCAAGCCATTTATAAACCTGATTAATTATATTGTCCACCTCTTGTAATTTATTTTCTAACCATTCGACATCTTCTTGTTTGGATTCCTTTACATCCCAAGTTGGTGACAATGAATTCAATGCTTGCTTAATATTTTCATAATGGGTAAGCCTAAATAAAATATTTAATGAGTTTAAATGATAGGAAGACACCGTTAAAGAAGCAAGAATTAAAATAATGACGACAAACTCAAGTTCTTCCAACAGGTCAACACATTCTTCAGCAATATCCATATCAGGAGAATTATTAATTCTTTTATGTAACTTGACTTTGGTTCCATCCATTTTGCACTGCATCTCATTTAGCTTCATAATTGAATCTACAATTGAACCTCTTCCTTCATTCTCTTTAAAAATATCCTGGTGCCAAATATTATCAAAAACAACAGCAATGGATGGTGATATTTGTTGAAGAGCAGAATTGAATTCATCAATAGAAGAGTATGTAAGTTTTACAATACCATGGCTCTCATATTTGGAAAATTTTGAGATCCCACCCCAATTATAATGGACAATAACTAGAGAGTCAAGGCCATTTTCTTTTAAGTCTTCATTCAAAATTTTCATAAGGTGAAAAAGTGACATTGCTATAGAATTATTTAAATATTAAAAAAAGTGTTATATATTTGTGTTATATATGGGGCATACTGCAACAAAACCAGACAAAGTGAACATTTGGAAGCCTTAGAAGTTTCAAAGGATTGGCATAATAAGCAAAAGCAAGAATTATTAGATAAAATTCAAAGACT